AGAGTCTGAAGGTCTGGGCTGGCCTGGGCGTGGCTCCCACTGTTTCAGCCTCACAGGACCCTCCACCCCCAGCCTAGAGCTCCAGGGGTCAGTGTTATGTGCAGTAAGTGGGTGAACAGAGGGTGGGAACAAGGGGGACCCTCCCAGCGCTGAGGACCAAGCCTGAAACCCCAGCCACTCATCAGAGGCCTGAGCAGGCACCCACGTCCGGGGCCATGCATTCCTCGTGGGCAGGGCCCCACCTGAATCTCACACACACACACACACACACACACACACGCATGCATGCACACGCACACGCACACGCACACACGCACACGCACACACGCGCACACACACACACACACACACACCCGCCGGGCTCAGTGCTGTGGGGAGTGAAGGGCCTTGAAGGGGAGCGAGGACCTGTCACTGGGGAGGCCCCTCAGCGAGGGTGTCGACAGGAAAAGAGGGCTCGTCCCCGATGCCGTGTCCTCGCATGACCCTGAATCCACCCCACCCTGGCCCCAGAGGAGGCCGAGGTGCTGCGCTCCGGGCTGTGACTCAGCGGAAGGAAGACAGGAAGGGGGGCGGGGTGGGGCGGGCTGGGGCCCTGGGGCTCTGCTTCTCATTTCTCTTTCCAGAGCGTAGCCAGTTCCCAGAAATGAAGGCACTAGAGCTGCAGCAAGCCCAGCTCTCAGGGCCCGGGTTCCGCAGGCCCCAGGGAAGCCCCTGTCCCTGTCCTCTGCGTGGGGACTCTTCCAGGCCCCAGACCGGCGGCCTAGTGCCGGGCGGGCGGTCCACCAGAGCCAGGAGCGGGCGGGAACTCAGACTTTCCAGGAGCCTGCGGCCCAGACTCCTTGCTGGGACACGCCTCTGGGTGAGAGGCGACACTGGGAACCTCCAGGACATAGGGATGGAGCAGTCAGGGCAGGCTTCCTGGGGGAGGCAGAGGCTACCTACACCAAGGACCTGCGGGTAGCATCCTCAGGTGCCCCACAGGAGTACCCCCCCCTCCCCTCCCCTTCCTTTCCTCCTCTCCTTCCTCTGTCTTGTTCTCTTTCATGTACTTAACTATTGAGAAAAGCCCCGTTGAAAAACACCACACACAGACTCGAAGGGGCACACCACCAAACCATGATGCAGAGCCCCCCCCCCCCCCCCCCCCCCCACCGCGGTCCCTGCAAGGAAGGGGCGCAGGGAGGCCTCCGGACACGCTGCCTCCAGCAGGAACCGCCGGGTGACCCGAGACCGAGGTCCCAGCCCAGGGTGCGCACTGCTGTTCTCCCTGACCCACTTCCGCCAAGAAAATGCTGAGAACTGGAACTTATGAGATGCATTTATGTTTAAGATGATGCTTTTATCTTTTTTTTTTAAATACATATTTGAGTTCCACAGGAAACTCACTTTGCAAGAGCAGAATCCAGCCCAGCCGGTGTGGCTCAGTGGTTGAGCATCGACCTATGAGCCAGGAGCTCACGGTTCAATTCCCAGTCCAGGGCACAGCCCGGGTTGAGGGCTGGATCCCCAGTGCGGGGCGTGCAGGAGGCAGCTGATCCATGATTCTCTCTCATCATTGATGTTTCTATCTCCCTCTCCCTCTCCCTCTCTGAAGCCAATAAAAATATATTTTTTAAAAAAAAGAAAAAAGAAAGAGTGAACTTCAGGGCTCTGAGGCTGGGCCGGGTTGGAAGGGCCGCTCTCTGCCCAGGCCGCGGGGCGCTGGTCAGCTCCGGA